TTTAGTGATATATTTGTCTCATTTCTGTTTTATTTTTATGTGCATATTAAGGAAATTCCAAATTTAAATAATATTGATGTTTGTAACACTTTTTTTATTTGAATAAGATACAGTTTAAAGTTACATTGCACATATATTATATACGTTTTTTACTTATACATAATAAAGTATATTATCAAGAAAATATCTTCCTCTTCTCTGTCTCTCTCTCTAAGCACTCATGTATTATTTTATAAATACTTTGTATTACACTGAACAAAAATAATAAAACTAATATCTTATTTTGCAGTAAAAACAAAACATAAATTGAACTTCTTGTAAAAAAAGAAACAGTTCTTATATATAACGTAACTGTGTATTAGACTAATCGAACAAAAATAAAATCAATATATTATTTTGCAGTAAGAACAAAACATAAATTAAACTTTTTGTAAAAAAAGAAACAGTTCTTATATATGTAACGTAGCTTTGTATTAGACTGATCGAACAAAAATAAAATTAATATATTGTTTAGAAGTAAGAACAAAACATAAATTAAATTAACTAATTTTCATTTTTAATATATTTTATAACTTCTTTATATATCATCAGTCTTTCTGATCAGTCTTTCAATACTATCTCACTGTTTAGTTCAACGAATTAAAAATAAAATTTGTTTCTATGAAACGTTAAATGACTTGTTTTGTTGCACCTCTCTTTGTAATCTATGCTCCTGTAATAACAACTCTTTTTCTAATATCTGTACTTCTAATTGTTCTTTCTTCAATCGCGTACTTAAAATTTGCATCTCTATTTCACGTTTTGCTTTAAAATCGTCTGTCATACATTCTGTAAGCTTGATCTTTGAATCTGTTAACATGTCAAATTGTGACATTCTTGAAGTAATAGTTTCTTCTTTTTTCTTATATGGTTTATTGTCTTGTCTATTAAGTTTCTTAGATTTATATTGATCATTTAAAACATTGGTTTTTACTTGAAGTGGAGTACTTATTTTTCGTTTTAATATTTGTACTGCGGATGTGTTCTGTACGTCTTGCTTTTCTGGTTTTTTTATATTTTGTATATTGCTCTTCTTAAGACAGTGTTGTGTATTATTCTCTCTCATAAACTGCAACAAAAAGGTATATAAATACAAAGATAAATAATGTAACGTACACTTCTATGCACATAAAAATTTTGTTCAGACTTACAACCGAGCTATTTCCATTAACATCTGATACACTATCGTTTCCAATTATGTCATTTTCCTTATCGTAGTTTGTCATTTCATGTCCATCTGATACATTATCAAATGAATTTTGTCTCATAGCACCAGCATTTTCTTGTAAGTACTACAAATTTATATTAATTTGTATTTAATACATTTGAGCAACAGATATATATATATATATATATAATATACAATATAATATATTTTAATATTTATTACATCTCTTACAAGTAGAACATCATCTTGATCATTGTCATTGTCATCAACTGGAAGCCACTCGTCCATTTCAATAGAATCTGATGACGTCTCGCATGAATTTGTCTTTGTAGGTATCTTGCATGCATTTGTACTTTGATCTGTATAAACATCTGTATAATATACATAAATATAATTTAACATATTTTCAGCTTTTTCACATATTACTAGCTAGCAAAAGTTACAATATCGTTCATTTTAATGAGCTTTAAAATAAGAAAGAATCGTAACATTGCTTTATACTGTGCATATATTTTATACGTATATATTTTACCTTCTATAGCATCACAATCATAATCACTTTTAATACCTTCAACAGAAGGTTTAATAATGTCTCGTACACGTTCCAGCACTACATCTGTTTGGGATTCACAAGGTCCTCCACCTAGTTTTTCAATCATAACTTTTATTACAATATACATTATACTTACTTATTACTTGTAAACAATTATATACTTCTACAAATTATGAAATAATTATTTTGATATGTAATATCTCTATAGTTTTACACCAAAATATCAACCAACATTTTACTTGCCTGTTTTATATAATTGTATCCTTTTATCAGCGAAAAATTTTCGTGTCTTTTTTTTAAGATTCTCCCAACAACTTTTGAGGACTTCCGCACTTCTAAATTCAGTTGAAGAAGATGTACTATTGTAATTATTTTCTATTACCTTCCAACACTTTTCTTTATCTTTTGAGGTTACTCCGTCAGTTCTTTTATTTTCTATTATATTTTTATACTTCAATACTATTTCTGTTAAAATTAGTTTTTCCTTTTCGGAAAAATTTTGGGCACGTTTCCGTTGCACACTTAATTTTGCTGCATTCATTTTATTAATTATACACTTCTTCGTTTGACAAGATATGATTCTCCTAACCTAATAATCCTAAACCACAGTAATCACAGTTCCGTTAGAACGATTATTGGACCAATCAACGTTCTACATTCTAATGCTTTCAGAGTTATATCAAACATGTTATAAGTTTAGCTAAACGTTCCGGATAGTTTACTCGTAAAAACCAATCAATATTAAACTGAAAGTTAATTTTAACCAAAGTTTCACTAAACCGTAGTTAACCACAAATTGGTAGAAACGGGCATTAGAAAGAGATGCAGAGTGAGTTTAATCGGAAAATCACGTTAGGCTGGTTTCACATGGGACGTAAGATGCGTATGCGTAACTTGCAATTTTACGCCCCAGCCTTAATCGGAGACTGTGATACCTAGGCCCTAGGCAATAGGCAATAGGAACCAGAGATGCCAACTTTACGTTTCAGCAGCCAGCTTCAAGCCAGCGCTGCCAGCGCTAAAAATCTATAGTTTACGTTACATACACTATAGATTTTCAGTTGACTCGGTACTCGCTACTCGCTACGTGAGATGGATATTGTCGCGGGAGAACACTGTGTGCCGATTGGTCATTTCGAATTGCATGCATTTATCGCATGGTATCATCGTGCTCTCGCGGTATCACGCGATCTCGTCGCGTGTGATAACCTTCTCCTCACATTTCGCCGTTTTTCGCGACAACACATTGAATCCTGAAGTTTCTCTAAACGCGATAAAGATACAAATTGAAGTTTTCAATGTGAAGAAAATTATTATTCCTGACAGGAGTTATTTTTAAGAGCTGAAGTGAAGTACTTAAGTATGGGCAAGTACGAAAAAAACAAACGAAAATATCGTAAGGAGTGGGAGTCCACCGAATGGGCTAAAGGTAAACTTGTGTATTTTACAAATGATACTGTAAAGAGTGTAAAGCATGAATGCGAGCCTTTGTACATACTACATATGTATATAATGTGGTGCTTTATTTCGTATTCGATAATTTCGATACCGTGTTTAACGTTGAGATAAAACCGTTATTGTAGAATGGTTGCAACACATTGACTCGGCAAAATACAAGAATCCGAACGATCCAAACGAAGCTTATTGTAAAATTTGCGATCAATCATTGAGAAGTCATCTTTCGGATCTTCAAAAACATGCACGTTCGAAAAAGCACAGGGAGAATTCTGCAGTGTTGAACAGGACAAAATATAAATCTTTGATGAGCCACGGTAACAGGCATTGAGATTGATTCCACGTTTCATTCTCCAGCCTTATCCTCAAAAGTTCATCCGTTACACGTTAAGTCGTTAAGCTGGAGGCTAAGGCTGAGAATGTTTTAAATAATAGAAACACAATGAACTATAGTGCAGAATTCTTGTATATTCATATGATTTATCTTTTATTATTTGAAGGATATCAGGCTACAATAACTGCAGAGAAGAAAATCGTGGATATAAAGCTAGCATTATATATAACAATGCATTATATATAACAATAACTCATCTATTCGCTCGGTAGATCATCTAGGCGAGCTTCTATCAACCTTAGGAAAAGGAAGCAATCTCGAGAATCTACGATTACATAGGACGAAATGCTCAAATATGATAAAGCACGTGATTGCACCTGTTTTTTTCAAAGATTTGGTCAAAGCCATTGGGAAAAAAGGGTACTCGATTATTATCGATGAAAGCACCGATGTTTCAGTCACAAAGTACCTGTGCATGTGCATTAAATACTTCGATACCACAGAAAATCGCATGCTCACTGATTTTTTGGGCATACTAGAAGTAGAACGAGCAACGGCCATCGATTTACATAAGAGTATTGTCGAGTATTTGCAACAAATTGGAATCCCGTTGAAAAATATGATAGCCATAAGCACGGATGGAGCAAGTAACCTGTGTGGGCGCAATCATTCTGTTTATACTCTATTAAAATGCGATGTACCAAACCTGCAACTCATGAGATGTACTTGCCATTCGCTGCATCTCTGTTCGTCGAAGGCGAGTGAAGAACTTCCGAGTTCTTTAGACTTTCTAGCGAGAGAAGTATTTAATTGGTTTAGCATCAGTCCGCTGCGCAAAATAAATTATAAGAAAACGTTTGATTTGATCAACTCCGGTACCGATGCTCAGAAATTTCGACAGATGATACAACTTTCGCGAACAAGATGGCTCGCATTTTACAACGTTGTGAAACGGTTATTGGAGCAGTGGGTGGAATTGAAAACCCATTTTCGTATAGCTTGCGACGCTGAAAAGTGCCATACTGCACGAACGATCCGCGATATGCTCGAGGATGACTGCAACAGATTGTACCTAATATTTTTGAAGCCCGTTTTGTCTGAAGTACAGCACCTAAATACATCGTTTCAGAGCGAAAAAATCGACGTTGGAAGTTTATATGTAGAGATTTCTCTCGTATTTTTGTCGTTCGCTGGGCGGATTATGAAGCCAACTTTCTTGAGAGCCGCGCATAATAAGTCTCGTACAACAAGTAATTGATGCAGTTGATAACGACCTGGCCTTCTTGCCGGTTGCAGAAGTGGATTTCGGACAGAACTTTAGGAAGGAATTCCAAGGATCCCAAAGCTCTGCGGAAAGAAAATCTCAGGTACAGCAGAGATGTTTTAATTTTCTGAAAAGATTTTTGACAGAAATGGCGCAGAGGCTTCCGGGAGCGTCCCGTTTGACCACGTTAATATTTACCACGGTCCCGATTGACCACGTTAATATTGAACACGTTGCAATTGACCACGTTGCGATTGACCACGTTGTGATTGATCACGGTCTCGACTGACCACCGTCCCAATTGACCACGGTTCCGATTGACCACCGTCCCGATTAACCACCGTCCCGATTGACCACCGTCCCGATTGATCACCGTCCCGATTGACCACAGTCCCGATTGACTACCGTCCCGATTGACTACCGTCCCGATTGACCACGGTCCCGATTGACCACCGTCCCGATTGACCACCGTCCCGATTGACCACCGTCCCGATTGACTACGGTCCCTATTAACCACGTTGAAATTGACCACGTTGAAATTGACCACGTTGAAATTAACCACGTTGCGTTTGACCACATTAATATTGACCACGTTGCGATTGACAACAGTCCCAATTGGCCACGCTCCCGATTAACCACCGTCCCGATTGACCACCGTCTCGATTGACCACAGTCGCAATTGACCACCGTCCCGATTGACCACGGTCCCGATTGACCACCGTCCCGATTGACCACGGTCACTATTGACCACGTTGAGATTGACCACGTTGAGATTGACCACGTTGTGTTTGCCCACGTCAATATTGATCACGTTGCATTGACTACGGTCCCGATTGCCCACAATCCCTATTAATCACGGTCCCGATTGACCACGTTGATATCGACCAGAGTCCCGATTAACTACGTTGATATTGGCCACGGTCCCGATTGGCCACGGTCCCGATTGACCACTGTCCCAATTGACCACCGTCCCGATTGGCCACGGTCCCGATTGACCACCGTCCCGATTGACCACGTTGATATTGACCACGGTCCCGATTGACCACCGTCCTGATTGACCACCGTCCCGATTGGCCACGGTCCCGATTGACCACCGTCCCGATTGACCACCGTCCCGATTGACCACCGTCTCGATTAACCACGTTGATATTGGCCACGGTCCCGATTGACCACCGTCCCGATTGACCACGGTCCCGATTGACCACCGTCCCGATTGACCACGATTGAGCACAAGTTACAATATTAAGCAGTTCCTGAGATATATATACAGGGTGCAGAAAAACTAAGTTTCGTAAATTTGTGTAATGAAAGAAGGAATAAATACACCAACTTTAAGTATAGGAACCATGGGTCAACGACGCTTCGTGACGGGCGTTTAATTAAATTGTCACAACGACTGCGATGCAATGATTTTATTCCGTCAATTTAACATGTTTACAGTAGAGACCCTCTATACAGAGTCTGGCCATAATTGATTTTGTCCAAATTCTGCGAGAGGAAGGATTACATTATTATGTATGTTGTACAACTACTGAGATATAAGTAATATCACAGTATTTACAACACAATAATTTTACGAGAGGTTAGGCAATCTGTCACAACAATGATGTGCAAGGCAAGCAAAGATGCAGAATAAAGCGGGGAACACACACTTCTGCACAACGCATAATGCGTAAGAATAAGAAAATTGATTGGTCCATACACATGTTTATAAGGAAATAGACTAATCAATTTTGTTATGCTTACGCATTATCCGTTGTGCAGAAGTATATGCTCCCCGCTTATAATGGCCATCGCACACAAAATTCCATAGGTTGCATAAGCATAGCATAAGATCGCTGGACCAATAAGCATTTTATGTAAATTAATATGGCGACTTTATGCTGGATGCTCATTGGTTAACGGTCTTACGCTACGCTTATGCTAAGCTATGCATTTTGTGCGCGATGGCTTTAAGGCCATTGCACGTAACGAAGTTTTAGTCATAATCGTAAGGCTGTAAGAAAATATACCAATCATAGTCGATTATTCTCCTCGCGCTTGAAGAATAATCAAGTGTGATTGATTTATTTTCTTACGGCCTTACGATTATGACTAAAACTTTGTTACGTGCAATGGCCTTTAAGCTGAATAATAAAATGGCAGATAAGTTTTTGGAGTGCGTTGGAGTGATTAGGAACATGGTGGGGCATGAGTGAGTCGTATCGTCGTATGCATGAACTTATGCCTTAACTGGCCTTAACCTAAAACTTAGAATAATTCTATTGGCTCTCGCCATTTTATTCCAAAGCCAATACACGTGAGTTCACTCAGTTGCCAGACTCTTAAGGCCGTGGCACATAGAAAAACTTAAGCAGTAAGGCTGGTTTCACATGGGGCGTAAGATGCGTATGCGTAACTTGCGTCAGCCAATCAAATCGTCTCAGTATTTAATCGTATCACACGCGTATAGTAGCTGAGAAGATTTGATTGGCTGA